TTTTTACCTCAGATAAAACCATGTTGAAGGAAATGCATTGAAGTCTGAAAAGAATATGCAATAATTAGAGAACAAAAACCTTAAGCGTTAATCTAACAACAATGAGAAACAAGCAAAAATTACCCTACCTTTCTCGATGATGCAGATTCAACAAAAAAATCTGAAGAGCACAATATTACTGACAATGTAAAACACATATCATGAAACTAACATATGTCAAAAATTATTCTAAAACGATGGGACTTCAATCTCACTACTTCCCACGATTCTTCCATCATGCTTGCCATGATCGCATTCTGCTGGATCGAGGTGGCTAGAACCCCACCCTCTCTTCCTACTAGGCACCTTCTGTTGCGCTCATGGGCACAGCGCCGAATTTTTAAAGCCCAGCACAACCCAAAGAAACAAAGAAATTGTGCAAAAGAAAGCACAGTAGAACTCGAACTAGAGCCGGATTATAGATAAGCAACCGCAGCGCCGCATTCTCGATCGGCCGATTCATGAAGTATGGAGATACCATTATGTGCGGTGGCGCGCCGCTTCCTTGTACGAGCGTTATTATTATCTTTTTAAGGAAACGACAATACCGTACCTCCAGCAAGGTTGATAGGGATGATACCATAAAGAAATGAATAGCTTTGTAACAGCAGCATAGCGAGTGGGACTTTGTTCAGCGACAATTTTAGATGTATTTTTTTCAAATTCAAATCCTCATGATTTGCAATTTTCGCAAGGCAACGCTCTTCGGGTTTACAATCGCGATATACAATTTGTAAATCATTTCCAGTGTTGTCTACTAATTCATGCATTTCCAAAATCATACAGCCTAGACCTTGCAGGCCAATCCTTGCAGGCCCGTAGTGGCTCGTCCCTTTTTTGTATTTTATTACAAGCAATTATAATATGGACACCCGCACAATTTTATTTGTAAATGAGGTAGATCATTGGCAATCCTGGAATGCAAACGATTAATTTAGCTTTTTTGCAATAATGTATGCCTCAGGGTGAGCCAGCTTCTTTGCCTTCCCGCAAGTTAACTAATGGATGAAAACAGACTACTACGAATCTCCAACTAATGGTAGTAGGTGGAATGGCTGCTACAGTGTTTTTGCTATTGAATGCATTTGATTCCTCATAGTGTTGCTCAGTGTACATCTAAAGTTGCATTGAATTTTTAGGCTTATCGACTGGTATAAGTTTCACATTAGCGACCACCTGCCTCATCAACCATATTGGCTAGATTGAGACCAACAAAAGAGCAACGAGAAGCTGCATGTGTAAAATTCAAACATTATATTCTTCTTCTAAAATTCGATAAGATATCACAATACGATACGTTGTTGTAATCTGAAGCAGTTATTATTATCAAACAAATTTGAGATTGAATTTGAATTTGAAATTCGAAGTATATAGGACCTCGACAATTTTTTTACAAGCGATATGTAAATGTGCGCTCTAAGTCAATTCCCTATAGCACAAAAAGTCAATATTTGAGCAACAGAGATCTTCACTTCTAGAAATTTAAAGGAAAAGACTATGGGCACTTTTTATCATGTGAATT